TTCTGGAAAATCGATTTGCTGTTTGTGTTGGTTTAATGCTTAACACTCGCTGCGTGTCCTTTGTACCAGCAGCTGTGGAATGCTCTGGTGCAGCTGAATTTGTGTGTTTTCTGACATGCTAAATGCAGTGAGAAACTTCCTTACGAGAGGAAGGGATTTAGGTTTGGTTTCTGTATTTGAATTTTTTGAAAGAACAACATTTCAAGAGTAGCATTTCCGTAGTCCTGTGCACGAATGTTTTCTGCAATCTTGTACAACTTTTCCTATGTTGCATTTTGATCATTAATTTTATATTCCACTTCATACACTTGCAACCATGTTAGAACAATTTTAAATTGCAAGTGCTACTGCATTTGTATTGCTACCTGCCCCCTGTGATACAGGGGGAACCTGAGGTGGGAAGGGATAGAAGTTGGAGAGTGCTAGGTATTATAAAAGTTAAGCGATACATTTTATTTTCTTGACTGTTCTTTTCATTGTTTGTTTTCCATACTTCTGGGAGAGTGAGTTATCATCCTGAAAACTTGCTAATTAATACTTTTATACTTTGTATGGTAGAGCAAGGCTGTCAGGCCTCTTTGTGAACTTGCTGCTTATCTCTAGTGTATGTTTTCAGGAGGCTGGCTCATGTAGAATCTGCTGTGTCAAAAGGAGTAAAGGAACCTTAGGGAATTATTAGGAATATAGCATGGTTATCTTGAGCTGCAGTTGCTATTTGGGCAAAAAAAATCCCCTAAGTTTTTTTTGGGACTTTTTATTTTTTTCCTATTTAACCTGTTTTAGAAAGTAGGAAAATCATCTAGCAGCTTTTTTTTTTTAACTGTAATTTCCAAACTACTTTCTCAGCAGCTTCTAAATATGAATCTGGCTGATGATTTCACAAGGACCATCAACTACTTTGAAGTAGTTCCTGTCCTTTTGAAAACCATACAAGGAGTAATGATAAGTTAGGTGACAACAGGAGAAGGAAACCTTGTAGTTGTTGGTGTGTATCTTGGGACTAGCTAGGTATGTAATGGGGAGGGACAAACTCCTAGTGGCAAGGCTTTGAAGAATATTGTGAGACACATTTGTTTAATTTAAATTGGAGTTTAATTTGGCAGTTGATAAGGGGCATTCACAACATGTTGATCAAGCTTTCTTTACAGGGAGGTGTGCAAAATTGCAAGTGGGGAAACTAAAATCAGTTAAAAAAAAAAAAAGGAAAAAAGCTGAATACTGACTCTGATTGTAATTTCTTTAAGAAATTTACTGAAATAGCTAAAAATGGGAGATGCATTTAAGCCACTGGAAAGAATTCTGTGGGTCAGAGACGGTCTCCTGAGTGCTCCTAGGCCAGATGAATCTTGGAGAGTAGAAGCGAAGTCCATGAAGGGAAAACTGCCTGCAAAGAAGTTTTACCAGTAAAATAAGTTTTGAGCTGAGGGCTATTTTCAGTGGCTGCTAACAAAAAGGAAAAGCATGTATTTGAGACATGACTGGAAAATTTCTGAAAACTCCTGGTGTGGAAGTGGTGGTGGGAAGATCACCATAGACACTAATTGGTTTCAGCTCTGGCTGTAATTGAAATGAGCAATTTGTGAAAATTCTTTTTTCCTTGATGCTAGTGGTGACTGGTGTTTTCAAGGGTTATATTGGGAGAGGATTTCATCCAGGACATGCAAGAGGTTCTGGCCTTTTTTTGTGGCCTCTGATGTGCCTGTAGGGAGACGCTACACACACTCGTGCAGTGTTTTGAACTAATCGGGTCTGTGCAAGGCTACCTCTAAAGCATTACGCTGTTGGACTGAGCCTGCCAGGATGTTTCAGTCCAGAAATGCCTCGTCAGCTTGTCTAGTGGAGCTCGGGTGCTAGGAGAAGAACAGGTTTTGGCTGAGAGCAATTATAATATAGTTAACGAGGAGGGTGCAGCTTAAACTCAGACCTTGAGGGTAGAGTCCACTGTAAAAGGATTTTCAAAGTTTGTCAGAAGAAGATATGAGATAAGAAGATACCCTATTGATAGAGGCTTTCATAGCAGTTAATAATCAAAGGAGGTAGTTACCATGAATAGCAGCTGCTTATACAGAAGATTTCAAAGACAAATGAAGAGGTCGAACTGTGGGGTGCAGGGTAGTGCTGTGCTACCCTTTAAGCCGGGGAGGGTGGTGGTTTTTAACATGCTATTAACAGTCCTCTTAGGGTCAGATAGTGGAGAAAAAGTGTTAAACCAAAGGCGGCCTAGCTTACCAATATTCACATGCCATAGAGTTTGGAGACTTTGATGCATATTGGCTGTGGACTGTTACCGTTGCCCTGAAGACATACTCCATAAATTGCAAGGAGCAAAATGCTTAGTAGGTTTTTGTTTATTCTGATTTGGAATATCCTCGGAAGTGTTTTGGTAGTACGAGGGGAGGAGTAAAAGAAGAACTTGGGTTATCTTTGTGAATTCAGTGACTTCATTTTTTGGCATGAGATGGGTAACATAGAGGGGTTTTGGTTTGTGGTGTGTTTTTTGGGTTTTTTGGTTTTTTTTCTTGGGTTGCTGTAGTCTCTTGTTTTTGGTGAGATTGAGTTTTAGTCTTACAAGGGAATGTGGGAAAGTTTTTTGTTTCCTGTAAACCTGGACAAAGTTTGCAGTTAGTGGATTCACAAACCTCTGTGTTTTGAAGCCTTGCAGCAAAGCGAGTGACTTTGAGGGGAACACTGAAAAGCTTTTAACCCCTGGGGGAAGACTCCACCACAGCGTTTGCCATACTGGTGGTAGTCCACTCGTAGTCATCACTGCTATCTTCAAGGCTGCTGAAAATGTGTTGCATAGATTTTAGTAGGACTTGTAAATTAAATGAGGCAAAGTTATACTTGGAATCAGTTGTGGAGGCCCTATAGACCCGTGTCCTGTCTCCTAGAAGATGAAGTTTACAGTAGGTGTAGAGCACTGTTTTCCTGTGGTGCTGACAGCCAGGGAGAAGGCCTTGTCAGCACCAAAGGAGCCATAATTCAGTGTAACGTTTATAAGTGAAATGTGGTTACAGATCTTTTTAACTGTAGGAAATCACCTGTGTGAAAGCAATGAGAAGCAGCAATTTGCGATGGTGTCTGGTGCTATCGATTAAAGGAGCGATAACTTGGCAC